ACCTCTTCCCTCATGTGGAAAATATTTGTATTGCATAGTTTCACGGTGTTTTGTGCAGCTTATATATAATGCTTTTAATTAGCTTTCTATGTCCAAAACGGAAGAATGAGTACACTATGATAATCTGAAGAATGTCAGGTAGAGGTGTACTGCAGAACCATTTAAAAAGTGAGTACATCTCTATAAATTATGAACTTTGTGTCTTCATACCTAGAAGATAATCTTAATGTAAGGAATAAAGCCGTGGGAACAAGAAAAAAAAGGTTTACTCATACTCCACTTGTTTGATTCAGAACTCTGATTTTGCAGTGCAGATTTCCATAAAAAACTACAATCATACTCATTCTGATAAAACATTTTGATAAAACCTTGACTTGCTTGTGACATTTAAATAGACTGCATCACATTCTGGTTAGTGATCTGTTAATTAGGATTCTGCAAAAAGAAAAATTTGGGCTCACCTCCTACCACGGCTAGCACTGTAGTTGGGGGCCTGATGCTATACTCAAGCATCTTGCTACGGCTTTCTTACTTCCTGCAGAAATGTTGTATGCTGCATCCATTGAGGATGCATGTATCTTGATGTATGTATCTTAATGCATTAAAGATGCCTTCTTAGCCTTGAGTAGGTATTTAGGTAGTTGCAGACTCAGGACAGAATTCAAATACAATAACACTCGGGTATATAATGAACTGTAATAGCCAGAAAATATGGAGTTTGGTAAAGAACTATCTCAGCCAGTTAAGCGTTGTAAAATTGCTCTGGCTTCTGAGTTTAGATACAGCAAGAACTCTTGCATAAGCTAAGACTAGTGACAAAGTTTCTGTTTCATTGAAGATAATAAGGAAGCCAATTGAAACATGTAAACACATACATACACAATCTTATATAATTTCTGTAGGACGGTACATTATGACTATCATGATATTTGCTAGGGCACAGGCATCTAAAAAGTGTGTGTATGTGTGGGGGGGGGAAGTGACCTGACTACTTTAATTGTCCCAGCTGACTGCAGCACTGTAAACGAGCAAACAGTGCAGATGAGGAAAAGTGCACATAATTTTTAAATCCCCTCAGTTATACCAAACGAAAGGTGGTGTGGCTAATCTAGGGCATTACCTCTGCTGTTCTAAGCGTGCGTGCGTTCAGCCATGAGGGCCAGATGCAGGAGGGGCCCTAGGTGTGGCAGTGCTCAGCTTTACCACACCTATCTTCAGGTGCCCTGACTCCGGGACTGGAATTAGGAACATCCAGTTCTTGCTCCTGGAACTCTGTCTGTGCCTCCTTATCCAGTGAGTGCATCAGGTAAACCTTCCCAGGACAGACTCCTGTCGCCCCTAAGTCATGATCCCACAGCATTAATTTTTCACTTGTTTGTGCCTTCTTTGACGTTGACGGTAGCCCAGATGGTCAGAGTTCTCTAACCACCAAGATACAGAAACGTTGGCTCTGCCATGTCCTACTGTGTTACTAAGAGTTGTCTCTGTGTCTCAGTTCCAGGGGATGGAGAGGGGTTTTCCAGCCCGTCTCACTGCCTGCAGCCCCAAGCGCAGCCCCGTGTGAGAGGAGGCTCTCCAGTGCATTCTTCTCCCCAGCATTTCTGTTGGGCAGCAGAGTCATCTCAGCCCTGTCATGCCAGGCAGCGTGAAATCCACCTTGAGATTCATGCGCTGCCCAGGAAACTTCGGTGCTTAATCTGGCATCACAAATTCCTTTCTGGGGCTAGGCTCTGAATTCTGGCACTTGGCACTGCCAAGTAGCAAACCTTAATGAACGGAGCCCTAAGTTATTTTCAGGTGCGAGGGGCTCAGAAGATAGGGTCACATTTAACAACAGCTCTCACAGTATGTGAAGGATCCCAAAGACAACTGTATTGCAGCTCCTGCTTTTCACCCGACTGGAGCCTTTTTGAACAAATGTGTTTTTGCAGAAGTGCAGTTTCTCTGGAGCTGAAATGTTCCAGCATTTTTATAGGGGATTTATCTGAAAGGTTTCTCAGGTCCCGTGATCGTGTCATTGTATGTTAGGTTTAGAGAGAACAAAAGAGACAGCACAAGAAAGGAAAATGTGAAGTTGTCAAGCAGAACTTGAACCTTTCGACAAGGTACATTTTCTCAAAGACATTAGTAACATGGTGCTTTTTATTCCAACATAAAACAAGGGCACATTTTCAAATCTAAGAAATTGTCTTGAACAGAATCGTTATTTTCTGGCTACCTCTACTTATTTATTGTTTTGTGTGGTGATACCATTTAGGAAGTATGTTACTAACTCCATGGACTCCATGAGTATATTAGGTAGGACCCAGGGCACCTGCAGTCTCTAGGCAAGGAGACTAGTCTACTTCCCTCCAGTTTTCTTATGCTACTAAACCTACAAAATGTTTAATTGATCCAGATTCCCATAACTCCTACGTTTAATCACAAATGCACAATTAGAAGTGCTTCTTCTGGGAACTGCGCTGATACTTCTCTCCTGAAAAAAGGTTTGAGCTGTTCAGAGAGCCCTTGGAAAACTCATGTATAATCAGAAGCACATGTCTCAGTGGCATTTCCAGCATCAGAGTGCACTGGATTTCACCCAGGATGTAGGAAACCAGGGCTCTAAGGACTTTTAGCTTGAAGAATACTGAACTTGCACTTCAGGCAAGTGTCCAATGGCCTGAGGGTAAACATCTTCCATGCTGTTGAAGGTGGGTCACTGCATAGTTAGGAGCCCAAGAACAGGGTCAAAGCAGGAGAAAGTAGCTGTGGTCCTGGGTTCAGCATAAAAGTCCGAGTATTCATGTACTGCAGGATCTGCTCCCGTGGCACTCCTGACCACAGGGCTGTGCATCTGTCTGAGCAGGGAAGATGTCCCTTATCCTGCAGGGCATCTGTGCCTGGCTTGATGTGCACTAGATCCTAAATCCTAGCTCTCGGCTCTTAAATGGGAATCCACAGCCTGTCCCTCATCACCTTTGAATGCCTTTCATGGAGGAGGGCAATATTTTAGGACTTCTGATGCTGTTTACATGGATAAAAAGCATGTTTAACTTAGTGGCAGCCTTTTCATTACCTTTAAGGATGAGGTGGAGTCCCAGAAGCTCTGAGAGGGTATGAACTTTGCAAAGAGTGACTTGTAAAGAAGAAAAGAAAAAAGATTTTTATTTTTATGCTCACAAAAGACATTTCATTGCCATTGCATTAAAACTGATTGATATGTTTTTTGTTTTCATTCAATATTACATTTGCAAAAAATCCCTCCTCTTCAATTTTTATTGAGAAAATGATTTAAGATATTTTTGAAGGGCTTGAAAAACCTTTACTTTTAGAAAAATCTACTTACTAACGGGAAACTTCAATCACTGTATTGGAAATTTTGGCATCCTGCCAATGTAGAAACTCAGACAAACCATAAAATGTTTATGTGGAAGTGGCTGAAAGGTGAAGAATCACATCTTCAACTGCAAACTCCTGTGTTTCCAGGGTCATTACCTGTTCTGCCAATATAGGATATTCGTGATTCTTTTTTTGAAGAATGACAGTGAATTTGGCACATAGATTGTGTTTCTAAATATTAAAAAGGAGTCTATGTTCATCCAGAAAGGAAAAAAATGCAGCTTGAGCTGCTTACTTTAAAAAATAGCTTTAATAGTTATGGAATACACAAGCAAAAAATCTGTAGATTAAATGAGCTTTCCCCTTGGTCTTTCTTAACCATTTGTTTTTTCTAGTTATAAGTTCAGGCTTTCTCTTGAATTAACAAAGTAGGTGTTGCAAGATACAGAAGCCTGAAATAGGGAAACTGGATATGAACTATGCTAAGGTTGCACTAGTTTAACTGTTTCGACTACAGGTGGGATTTTCACTGAAATAGTTTTACTGAAATAGACGCCCGTTATTACCACACCCAGTGTTTCCGTGCAGCTCTCATTTAAAATAATTTAAATGCTTTTTAGTTAGGCAGGAATTGTGGGATCTTGTGGGTGTGGATAGTTTTCTATATAATTATGTCGGCCAAATATAGATAAGGAGGAGCCTGGAAAAGATTGGCATCGCCAGGACCTGGAATGTGACCCTGGTGCATAAGGTTGATTGTTCCATTAGATTGGCCAGAGTAAGTTCCTTCAAAACTTTTCCTATTCATTACCAAAATCATCCTTAAAACAATCAACTTATGCAAGTAATGAGAGTCTTTAAATCAAAACTGCATGGCATGGAGAGTTTTAGTAGGCTAAGGAAGATTCAACCATTAAGTCCCCATTAAGAATCTTTTTTAATTCATTTTTTCAGTACTTTGCACAGATTACCTCCTGACACAATTGTAGTTCATATAATACATAAATAATGAATTAAAAAAGCAGCATAATAATACAGGCCACAACTTATTGTCACTTTAAGGAAAACATATTGGTTATTGTGAAATGAATTTGGAGGCTCTGCTAAAATTGAATAATAATGTGTCCGTAAATGCTTCCTCATGGTGGCTGAGGAAGTGACCATGGGTGACTGGGTGCAGATCACATGTCCTAGTTCCCCTCCTTAGCTTTGAGTCTCTAAAAGGCTTCTAAAAATGAAATGAATGTACCCCTTAAACTCCTTTGTGAAGCTATGCGTGGAGAAAGGGGTGGTTAGTAAGATTTTTTTTCTCTTATCTAGATGTAGTTTGCCCTAGAAAAGTATTTGGTTTGCATTTCTGGAGGATCCCACATTACAAAAATCCCCACACTTTCACAAATAGAACCCTTGCACACAGTTGCTGCAGCCAACCTAGCTATTAACTGTAACATCTATCTATTAAATCGACCCTCCACCAATTTAACTGGATTAACTACCCTAGCTGACAAATTTGCCTTGACCTGTTGTCGTGGTCCAGTTCGGTCTTTGTGATGAAAATGAAATTGCCCTGCAGTTGATGTTTGTTTACTATAGAAACTAAGAAAACAGAATCAAAAATGATCTTTTGGATTCTGTACAAATAACCGTTTTAATTTCTTGTGTTTGAATTTCCTTTGAAGGCTTCCATCTCTATCACAAGTTGCCCTCAATAGTACCTGAAAGCTGTCTCCTCATTCTGGTTGGATTGCTTCTTGGTGGGATTATTTTTGGAGCAGAGGAAAAGTCCCCACCTGTAATGAACAGCGATGTTTTTTTCTTGTATCTTTTACCACCCATTGTACTCGACGCTGGATATTTTATGCCAACTCGTCTTTTCTTTGAGAACTTTGGTACCATATTCTGGTATGCCGTGGTGGGCACGCTGTGGAACGCCATCGGCATTGGAATTTCACTTTATGGAATTTGCCAGATCAGTGCATTTGGTTTGACTGATATCACGTTGCTGCAGAATTTGCTCTTTGGCAGCCTCATTTCAGCTGTGGATCCCGTGGCGGTGTTAGCTGTTTTTGAAAATATTCATGTCAATGAGCAGCTTTACATCCTGGTGTTTGGCGAGTCTTTGCTGAATGATGCTATAACTGTGGTAAGTTACTTGCTAAATGATGAGTTGAAAAAACTAATAAATGATTGCATGCCACTCCATTATATCTCTTTGTATCAGGTCATTACAGTTTGCAAATTGATGGAAGTCGAGGAGTGCTAATGTGTTTATGTAATTCTCTAAACTTTAAGTTTAGAAACTACGATAGTCTTACTACACCAGAGTAATGTGTAATGGTACCATATTTGGTGTAGGGATTTTACTACCTGATCTCTTTAGTTTCTGTATCTTTGAATTCTGTTACTTCTGTAATCTGAAACTGGAGGTTTTCCTCACCTGCAGAAGTGTTGTTGGGCAGGAGAGGGAAAAGGCCAGTGTGGGGTGTCCCAGCATGTTCACAGGGAGAATGGGCAAATCACTGCGATGGCGCAGGACCTGGTTGATGCTAGCCTTTTGCATGTGCTCATCCAGTTGGAGCTGCCCTGAAACCACCAAAACATTTCTCCCAGGCTACAGATGAGATAGGACAGCCATCTGGAGGCAGTAATTTCTAATCATTAACTAGCTGAACTGGGTTTCTGCTGCTGACCTGAGGACAACAATCTGCGAATGACATTAACACCCCCAATGGCCCTTGTTTGTACCTGATGACACCATGTCTGGGACCTTACTCCCATTTATCCATGCCTTACTTGAAATTCTGCCTGTGCCAACTATGTGCTGGCATGCTTTCTGTTTTGTGAGACAGCGAGGACCAGTTTTTCATATGCCAGAAGGATCAGAAAGATTCACAAACTGGGTCCACACCTTTCTTGTCTCTGCCACTGTCTTCTTATTCCTGTCCCGTTCTATGCACAATTGTCCTTCACTTTCCCCCTTTTCTGAGACTTTGCCTCACCTGTTTAACACATGTATATCTCATCATTTAATCTGAGCTTTGGCACTGATCATTTCTTGTGTGTCCCTGTGAGTACTCTTTGGTTTTTTTCACTTACGCTTCATGCTTTACCTGATTCTCTTGCTATCTAGCCAGCTGAATCCCATCCTCTCATATGGGCCTGCCTTAAAGCCTAGCTTTTCTCATTAGCTTACAGCTGAAACTACCTGCCATTGCTAAGCTGGTACTTAAGGCAGTCCTGAAAATAAAAATAAGTGGGTGTAAATACTGAGTTTCAGAAAGTTTACCAGTTCAGCCATGGCTGTGTCTGTCTCTATTCATGCTTACTGGCCACTCATGCAGTGGAATTCTTTTCATACAAATTTTTCTGCAGGAAAAAGGTCTGGTTTTATGTTAATGTAAAACTTTTTTTTTTTTTTGTGCATTTTCCAAGCAAAATCTCTTTTTTCCAATCACAAAATCAATCACCTTTCCACTGGAGCAGCAGTTAATCCAGCAAGATTTGCTAGGAAAGCGCTGCATCCTGATGATGGAAGTATTCACGCATACCATTGTCCAATAGCAAATTACTCCAAAACACCATTTTTATAGGCGTTGGTATTACAATTTAATAACTATGATGCATGACTTTCCAGTAGGTGCCTTCTTTGGAGGTGGTCCTTTCTCACAGCATGCCTGCCCAGATGCTCAAGCACAGGGGAGATACTCTGAGAAGTTTGTAGGGACAGAAAAGCATATGCATTAACCAATACATATATTCATGAAGGAGTGAAAGGAATTTGGAGTACCTTCAGTCTTACTTCCCAGCTATCGCTTAAAGGTAGCACTTGGCAGGAGATCAAGTGGTTTCCACATGATAAGCGTTGGTCTGCTAATGGTTCCTTGTTATGGGTTTGCACACCTGCAATCATGTGTTTATACTTAAAACGTGACCCAGGCCATCACACAGATCCCCCATGGGGTGCCCTTAGAGGACCTCGCCTCCCCTGCCCAAAGCAGTGCTGCCAGAGCAGTCCTTGCTGCCGGGGTTACACAGCTATCTGCTGAAAGGAGACGGTGTCTTCTAAATACTAGCTCTTCCTCTGCCCCCTCGTTGTGTTACTGGGAGAGATGATAAAACCAGTTAGTAGGCAGAACTCAGCATCTTCCAGCTTTTGTCTGCTGGAGCCCTTGAGTCCCACCTACCCTGGCAGGTCCCTCTGGTGGGTTGTGGGGACAAAGCAGGAGGGGAGCTGAATGCAGACTGGCTGTCCACGGAAGCTGCCTAATTCCTACGGCCACTGCAGCATCAAAAAACCCAGGGGCTACACAGATGGGCAGTGCAGAACAGGGTGGCTCTGGTAAGCATGCTTTCTAAATACTTTAAGCCTGTCTTCCTGCTATCCTGCTTGCACTGCCTGGCTGCTCCTAATAAAAGCTTTTATTAGGATACCAGTGTCATCTATGCTTTCCCTTTTCAGAAAAAGTGCTACCACACCTTCATTTTAGTTACAAAGTGAGATGTGCTTTCTCAGGAATCTCAGCTCAGCTGTGTTTCTCAGCTGGTCTTTCATGCCGGATAGTTTTTGTGATAAATGTTTGGATGATCTTTTTCCTGTATTGATGGAATTTTGGAGCTTGAATTTGGCTGAGGACAATGTTTACTAGTTGGCTTCTTGGTCAGAGTTCGTGGTTTACCAAAAGACTGGGTCAGTGATAACTAGCACGACATATTAAATGGCAAAATCACAGTTGAAGTTGAGTGTTAGCAGTTCAGCTTCCAATTCTAGGCTTAAAATCACAGAGAAGGAGCCAGTGTCCTTACAATAATATTATTACCATGTTAGAAAACATTTTAGCAGTGCTCTGTATTCCTCCTCTGCTGAAAACATTATTTTACAGTAATTTCAGAATTCAGTATTTAGAGTATATTAAAGTAATTTCAGAGTTAAAAACTGATAACTGAGAATTGATGAAAATAAGCAATTACTGTCTAGGAAGAGCAGTGATACTCTGAGATAAGATTAAAAAGTGATTTGTGACTAATATTCCTTGGTGTAACCTTCAGCAAGTTCAACTGAAGGATGTTGAGTAAATGCAAATGTTGAACTTGAAAAAAAAAGCTCCGTTCTCATACCAAATGCATTACAAAGTGTGACCAGAGTTGATGTTGTTTAACTCACCTGAAAGTTTAGAGAGAGCTGTAAAGCTGAACTGCTGTAGAGTAAAAGGGAAGTGAACCTGATTTTGATCTCATTTACAGCAGTGTAAATAAAGAACAAGAGGAATGAGATTAAAATCATGTTCATGACATTCCGTAGTCTTGGCTGCTGCTTCTACCAGGGCGGTCTGGTTTTGATGTACAAAGGAACATTGCTTTTCTTCTTTCAAATAACTTACGACAACAGACTTGAGATTTATGAAGATGTCTGTATGTGGAAACCACAGGCTCCATTCTGCTTGCAGGGTGAATACTTTGCTGTGAGTATGAGGTGATGTTATGGAATGACTATTGCTTGAGTAGATCAATTACATGCTGCTTTACAAGGAGCTCTCAGTGACCTTACTTTGGGATCTTGTGTTATAGATGTTTATATAGTTACTTTTTAAAGTATAAAAAGGCTATTTAAAACTCTAATTAAATAAAATAATAAACTTCCCTAATACATACCAAGGGAGTATTCTGCCAAGTGAAATTCTGTAGGTGTCTTGAAGAATAACACAACTCTGGTGTAGTCCCAAGTTTCAACAGGTGACTCGGGGAAATCCCTCTTCTTGCAAACAACACAAGTTGGCAGTATTTTTCCTTCAGTCTGTGATTTCCTGGAGTCCTGGGAGTCTGTGGGCTGAGAGGTCCTTGTAAAGTGACCAACTAAGGCACACCTGTTGTCTATAGGCTTAATTCTGGCATATTTCTCTTTGTGTAAATCTGTAAGGTCCACAAATCAAAACAGATGGAAAACCAGAAGAGCCTATGACATTACCTTCCTGCCCAGCACAGGACATAGTAACAAGGAATAGGGCAAAAAGGCTGGGAGTCTGACTCAGAGAAGCAAGATGAAGGGGTTTGTCCAGGTGAAAAAGGACACTTCTCCCAGGTGGACTTATCCTGAGGGCATAATTGTTATCAGATAAATAGTTCATGCTTCTGTTCTAGTCCTGTTTGTTGCTCTGTAATGAAAATTACTGCTCACCTGCTAGGTTTGATTTAACCTTTTTTCATGCTTGCTCTGGAATTTATTTTTTTATTTTCTTTTTCAGTTCTTTCCTTTCACTTATCCCAAAGAACCCATAATAGGCTATGTCTTTGCATTGGTCTATAGTGACAACTTTTACCTCTGTAAGACCTGTCAAATTTTGGCCAAGAAGAGCTGAAAAACTTACTTTGTTGTGTGAGACAGAACAAGACCACAAACGTGACAAATCCCTCCCAGTCACTATTCAAACACCTACATTGTTGGCACAATGCAAGTACTGATAAAACATTGTTCTCTCAAATAGCATTTCTGATAAAGAAACCTGTTTCGTTTACCAAGAAGGCCAGAAAGAAAGTGGAGGTTTAACTTCTGCAAGCTGTCCAAGATGACTAGTTGGGTGTTTATTATGACCACAGTGGCTTAGCTTTTGAACCCACTGTGATAGGAATAGGTGCCTGTGACCAAGCTTAAGTCTGTACAAGGGGACAGTGTAGCCATCATGGTATCACATGGCTGGGAGCATACATGCAGCACCAGACAATGCTTAAATCTCCCAAATAAGTCTGAAAATAAGGAGACCCTTTAAGGTTTCTTTAAGAGTAACTGATTCCATTGTTGCCTGTTTCATTGTAACTAAAATACATTATATTAGAGACTTCACATTGTTCTGTTTTCTGTGTAAAACAAAAAGGCTCTCTGTCTAAGAAAATGGGTGATCTCATTGACCCATTTTGTTTTGGAGGATGGTTATAAAAACTTTGAAAATTACAGCTGGGCAAACACATGGTAACAGGGCTTTTAATGGGAATTAAATCCAAATCTCTATAAATAATCTAAAGTTTGAAAAGTCTTTAAACCATTGGATTCCTAATGGTTAACAAGTCAGAGAAAGAGAACTCCTTGGATGCCGTGTTTCTTGTACTCCTTGGGTGGTCACTAGCCATCCCCTCTCCTCCCCACCCACAACTCCTGCCAGATGAATCTATGGTCTAATTCAGTAGTTCAACTCTCAGTGTCTTATGTAGATCCAACACATTGGAAAATAACCTGATTTTTCACTGATTATGAAGCTGTATTTTTTCCTCCTCCTTTTAATTTCTTTTATTCTGGGGAAAATCTGCAATGGCCACCTGTGGAGAAATTAGAAGCTCTGCAAATAGATTAATTTAAAGAAAGATTAGATAGATCTATGCTCCTGGCCTGCAGGATGGCATGGGTTAAGAAACCTGTACTGTTTTCAAAAATGGGTATAATGATATTTACCCTTCTTTGTATATCTGCCTGATATTTATGGATGATGAGTCATATGCCAGAGGTAAACATCAGCATATCTGAAAAGTGTGTTCAAGGTAGATAGAGAAATTGAAAGTTCAGCGTTGAAGCAGAGGAACATAATGACACGAAGGGAAATTAAGAAGATTTCAGAAACATAATATGCTTTCTTTTTCCTCATAGGTCCTGTACAATTTGTTCAAGTCTTTCTGCCAGATGCGCACAATTAAGGTTATTGACATATTCGCTGGGATTGCTAACTTCTTTATAGTGGGGATCGGTGGAGTATTGATTGGAATCCTTTTGGGATTTGTAGCAGCCTTTACCACCCGTTTCACCCATAAAATCCGAGTGATTGAGCCACTCTTTGTCTTCCTGTACAGTTACTTGTCATACATAACAGCTGAAATGTTTCATCTCTCGGGCATCATGGCGTAAGTACCCCAAACTTCAGTAATAATAGCACCCAAGTAAGAATGCCAAAGGAAACTGCAGAGAGGACCAGATTTTGCAAACTTTGCCATATGGCATCATTCCATCATGCATGGCAGCGATGCTGACTTGAGGATTTCCGGCCTCTCCCCTCCTGCTTCCATCCTCTTTTCTCAGCTTGCTGCCACACCAGCTGTGTCACTAAAACTGTTCATGGCATCACAGCATAAACCATATCTTTGAAATGTTCCAAGTTGAAAATAATCCCTTGTATTTTCAGTGGGGTTATTTTTAACTTGGATCAGTTTGGTGACCTGTGTCCTCATGTGACCCTACAAGTAGTCATAAGGGCACAGCTGAAGGGTGGCCCACAGTGATGTGGGGGCAGTGGTGGCCAGGAGGGAGTGGGAGTGGTAGCTGGGAACTTCATGAAGTGGCTTCGCTTCCCATGCCAATATATTGTGAAACTATGTCTTACATGTAGTCATGTGAGCAGCCAGTAAGTACCATTCAATGAAGACAATGTATATGTATCATTAAGGCAAACTCCTGCTGGATTACAAGCCCAGTAAGGATTGGGTGAATGTAAAATTTGCAGAATCTAGTCCTGTGGTGATACAACCCTTTAGTTTATTATCTTTATACGTGTGCCTGCGTGTTACAATACTCTCTGTATACATCATTATGTATAAAATAATATTATTCTTCCCACTTGAAACAGATAAAAATATTTTCACTCCTGCTTTTTCACTCTTGGGCTTCAGTGAAGGGAGAGCACCGCCTCTCGCTAGATGCTGTTTATACTGTAACAACCTCAACTTTAGAAAGAGCCTTTATGACATTTGATATACTTAAAAGGTTTGCTCTGGTTCCAAGTAATATTTGTAAAGGCCAACCTTCTTTAATGACTTTGTATTGTTCTAGTGGCAAATATGAGTCATTCAGGCATTAGGAGCATAGCTTTTTATGAAAACTCAGATGTTACTTCTGAGTATCACTAAGACTTGGTAATACTTCATCTGATTATTATCTTTTCGGAAAGTGAAGATAGGTTTGATATCATAATTATGCCAGTATAAGGTTTTCTGGGTCTGGGAAGCAATTTACATGGAAACTTACAGACGATTATTTTAGTAGTATAAAAATAGAAATATGCCATGGAATGGGAGGGGTTAGTACTTTGATATAAGTAAAGAGCTAAAGATTGCTTGGGTTTCCTTCTCTGATATGAGCCTAAATAAAGTAGCATACGCATCCACTTTGACCGAGTTCATAAGTGTGCCATCTCTTCCCCTAGCTTCTATTCATAGCATTTGTGTGGTTTCTAGTTTCCTCCACTTCTTAAGTCCAATGTCCTTGACATCCTATGATCAAATACTTAAAGAGCTTCTAAACCAAAAACATGTGGCTAAACTGTACATGGAGGAAATTGTGGCAGTGTGCATGAAATACTGATTTGGACGTGCTGCATGCCGGGCAGTGGTGCACTTGCAACCTATTCCTTTTCATCAGTGACAGTGGCCCCGCGTGGGTGGCAAACAGAAGAGAAAACACAAAGTATTTTTTCTCTCCAACAACACAATAGAAAATTAGTTATCTTTAAAATGTCATGTATGTTTTTTGACTCTAAATGTATTGTATAATAGCTAACAGAGCTGGATACATCAGTACCACCGAGGAGGAGCAGGAAGGGCTCTCTGCAGCCATGTAGTGTCTCAGCTGTGCTGAGATGTAAAGCGTGCCCCCTCCCAGCAGTGCTGCTGAGGGACGTCAAGCTCCTGTAATCTCTGCACCCTCTTGGACTAAATCTACCCCATGCTTTTCACATTTTGTTGGGCTTTGAACTGCAGGGAGTGTTTTGCTCTGTGTCACAGTGCAACATGCATTGGTATTGAGTTCCCTGTCGTTTTCTGCAGCAAATGACTCATGGCAGGATTGCTTGGGTCTGACTTCAAAGTCAGCCCTCCTTTGAGCATGTAGTTGGACCAAATGACCTCGGAGTGTCCCTTACAACCCTCATTGTTTATACATTATATTGTTCTGTGGCCATTTATAGTTCAGCCTATAGGGGTTAATTGTCTGATCTCCCTTTTTTCACCCACATCCACGTGAGTCTGTCACACTATTGATTCCCACTTCCTTCATAACTAGATTCATAAAGATGGTTGGCAAGACCTTGTGGTTACAGGCTGTACCATACTTTAGGTGAAGGACATGAAACAGCATTATCAAAGAAATAAGATACATACACAGAGTGCCTCATTTTTGTGCAAGTAGGAATTCACTGGCAGAAGAATAGAGGGGAATGAGAGGTGCTTGTCCCTCTTCTGGTAAGTCTGTGTACTTGTTCTGAGGACACACAATTCTTAAAGCATCCGTGTATAACCCCTGCACCAAGTTACCTGGCTGAAATAGCAGAGGGACTGAACCATGTCCCTGTGAGCTGCGGTGAGAAAGTCCTCTCAGAAGGAGAGGAAAGAGCTTCTACTGCAATTAGAGCTGAGCTTGAATCAGGGGCATGGCTGAAAACATACAGATATGAATCTGAACTTTATTTGCTTGGTTCCGTTTCTAATTATAATGCTGCATTTTCTGATTTTCTACTTACTAATTTCTCTTAAAGGCTGTGAAAGAGCAGAACAAATTTTTTTTTGTTGTTTTTTGCAAGTGAGTTAGCAGGCTGAAAGGAACAAACATTGAAACTACTGTAAATTTAGTAGGTCAAGGAAACTTGAGGACTGAACCCAGTGTCCTAGTTTATTGCAGTCATGACAGAAACTGTGTTGTTTGTACAGGAGGACTTTTATTCTTCAGAAGCACAGAAGGTTGCAGGTTAATTGCAATTAACTTTTTTCCCTCCCCTTCTTGACCAAGGCAGCTACTTCAGGTCACAGAAGTGGAAACCATAAATAATATGTGTGGATAAAAAATGTAAAATAAACCACATCTGAGCTTTTGCTTAGATTATGGTGACAGTAAAAGATTAGTTTGGGAAGAACATATTATAATAATATACATAAAATCTTGCATATTTAAAGAAATGTATTTTATATTAAATTCTAACACTATATTGCAATAGGATTTTCACCTTAAAGAGACTTGAACAGGATTTTTTCTAGTGTAGATAAGTATACTGAAGAGAGATACCAGATCTATGAAGTGAGCAGTGATTAGCTATGGAACAATACTTACCTGAAGAGTGACAAATACTGCACAGCACTATTTGCTGTACTGGTGAACCAGCTTGTTAATTAGTTGACACTAATCAAATGAATGCAAAACGTGACTGAAAATAATATTGTCTGTATGAGTGTTGTCCCTTTAAATTGTAGTGGTTAAGCATGGTGGGTGTTTTAAGTTACAGCTTGCAAAGATCCTGATTAATCTGGTGACAGATTCTTATCAGACATCTATTTACAGTGTCTCCATTACCTCAGGATCCAAAAACAAACCATGTCCAGAGCATGCTTCCCCACTCCCCAAGCTGCAGGGCTTTCCTAAAGGACTATGATAATGAAAACTATTTATTTTAAGAGGATAATAAATAGTAATGAGGGTTTTGTTCTGTCTCCGGTGCAGACCTGACAACCCTAATGCTTCAGGCCTTTAGGCCTGCTTCAGGTGCAGCTTTGGATGACTGCAGGTCTGGAAATGGATGTTTTGCTGCCTGCCCACCACCTTCTTGCTGTATTGTATTTGCACCCCCTGCACTTACCAGCTCCACTGTGTGCACAATTAGCTGGAGGTAGCCGGGATGCACTGGTCTTGTTATACTTGTACGGACAAGCTGTGCATGCACAGGAGAGCTGTCACGACCTGTGACATAACCTGAGATATTTGTAGGTCTGTCAGTGCAGCCTGTGGCTTGTGAAGAGCTGGTTTGCCACTGAGTATGGGAGTTCTGGAAAGTGAAATTCTTAAGTAGATTAGAGATCCATCTTCACATATACTTTTGAGGTTGGTCACCAGAACTACATATAAGCTGAAGAACCTGGGAATGTTTGACGGCTTCTAGGCTTGAGTGTATTATGTCCTGGCCAAGTCATCACTCCATGTCAGGACAAAATCCATGCAGGGCCCTGGTCCTCTCCCATTTTTTCCCAAGATGTGCAGGCACATATGTTTATGGGAATTATGGTGGGATCTATGACAAGTCCTCAGTCTGAGCAAGTGTAAGACAAGAACAAGGAGGAGAACTGTGAAGACCATCAGCAGTCTGTCTGTATTGCCAAAAATGCAGGACCTCTGTTGTCCCAACCACATGCTCAAGCTAGAAACGTTACCTAAACCACTGAGTGTTGCAGGGATGAAGCTTGTATGCTCATGAAGTCTGCAGCATTTCTTCCGTGGTGGATCCCATGTAGCCATGATGATGCTTCCCAGACAGTGTTCTACTCTTGGGCCACAGAGGATCTTTCTGTTCAAGCCCATAGTGAAATCAGCTGACAATGAGGAGACAGCTGACAATTATGTCAGTACTAAATGCAGGTCAGGGTCTGGGATAGTTTTAGCCAACCTTTCCTTCTTATTAGTCTTGGAGTTTGCTTAGGGCTGGAGCTAGATTTTCTATGGCAATGGCCATTTTATTTTGTGCTGTCTACATCTGCCTCTCTGCCACCAAGTGTAGATGGATGAAAATGCAGGGTAGAGGCCAGGTTAGGTGCACTGTTCTGCTAGCAGACCCTCTCCACCTGTATTTGTAAGCTACTGCCTGCCCCATCGGATTGCATTTGTCTCCACATCAAACCCCCTTCCCTAGGTTTTATTCACCCTGATGTGCCTGCAGGGGCTGTGCTGCTTAACAGAGGTCAGCGAAGTAAACTGTGCCCTCTTCAAGTGTCCACGTGTCCTCCCAGGTTCATCCCTCAGAACTAATGCTGCCCATTCACTTTGGGGTTGTGGATGTGTTGGTCAGGTCAGAGATTACAGTGTTTCAGATCTTGGCCATTGTCCTCCAAAGCAGACCATACTGGCTCCATGTAAGAGTAGAAAAATTCTGGACAAAACTAACTTTAATAAATTAGGAGAAATATGATCAGGGTCTGCCAATTACTACAGCCACAGCTGCTGCTATGGATGCCCTCTTGCAAAGTGCTAAGAAAGTTTACTATGTGAAGGTCCTTTTAAATTACTGCTGCTTCTGGGATTCCTCTTTCTGCTTTGCAGAATATTTTTTTTAATCCCTTCTTTTAGAAGAAATAACCTAGATGTGTGTATTCATAATGTCAGTGAGCTTTTTCTGAGCTATCCTTCAGTCTGCCTTTCCATTGACACATTCAGGGACGTTTGAGTTGTTCAGAGATAGGGCTCTTGGCTTAGAGCCAGGACATGCTCAGCAGAAGGCTTTCTGCAGTGGGATGTCCATGAGATGTGGGAAAGTTGTCTTCAACTTCTTCCAAAGAGATGCTAGGGAACCTACCTTTCTCCTCCATGAGAGAGCAGTGTGGAGGTTTCAGTAGGAAGAAATATCCCCAAGTAATTATAGACTGAACATCTGGTGGAACTGGGATAAATAATGGTAGGACAAGTCCTCGTGTGCTATATTCAGAAAGACAACACAAATACATATCTCTCTCTCTGTTTAGGTTTAGTGTGCATGGTTTGATTGAGAACCTGTACATGGGTGTGTATAATGTTTTTAACTGGGAAAGACATGTTTTTGCTCTAGATAGTAGAACTAGGAGTGAAAGCTATTTCACATCACATCTTGCCTTAGTTGCCCACCCTGATAATTATTAGGCAATTCAGACTGCTGCCCTACACTGAGGTACTACTTTGAGGTTATCCTCCAGCCAGCTCTGCGAACTATCCTTAAACCCGTAAACTTTGTAGCTGAGTGGTCCTTGGCCATCCCCACACCATGGGCAGTCGTACTGAGCAAGTGATGTACAGCCAGTAATGTCATTCTTTGTTCTTCCTGCCGAGTAAAAAACTGTTTACTAACACAGGCTTGGAGCACAGACACGTAGGCATACTTACAGTAAGCCCTGTCTGTTCTCTCATGTCTCAGCCAAGATGTCCATTTCATTGATTTGTAGGTACTTTAAATGTACAACGGCACCAGCATATATTTCTGGGGGTGTTTTTCTCCTATTCAGCCCTATGCACAGGCAAAGCGAGCAGTGGCCTAAAGTGGTGAAGGATGACAAATTGTCTGTAGCTTTGCTGCTTACTTTGCTTGGAAAGAGGAGCAGGCTACTGTCACTACCATTGAGGAGGGGAATGATTTGGTGGGACAGTGGCTGGTGGGCAGGTAGTGAAGTCCTGCCCCAGGATGTGCAGTTGCCATCCTGTCTAATGTCCCTCAGCAGCAATAGAATAGAAGCAGCACTCCCTGTTTTCCAGGGCTGCCACTGGCTCTCCTCAGCTCTGCCTCTTTCAAAACACAGTTTGAGTGACCCCTGCTTTGATCATGTGGATTTGGTATCTGAAAAACCTCTCCATATCCTGATGTCTTCTCATAAAACTCCCTGCTGTGGAAAAAAAAAATCTCATGCTCAAAACTCTAGGTTCACCAAGTTTATAAATTTGAGATTGGTTATGCAATAAGTCATGCTTTGTATTTTAAAAAGGACTATGGAAAAGTGAATAATATTCTGTAGAAATGAGATAGGCTAAAAAAAAAAATAAATCAAGCCAATGACGTCCAGGATAATGTTTGCCTTCCAGGATTACAGCTTGTGCCATGACCATGAATAAATATGTGGAGGAAAATGTTTCTCAAAAGTCCTATACAACAATAAAGTATTTCATGAAGATGCTGAGCAGTGTCAGTGAGACCTTAATCTTCATCTTCATGGGAGTGTCTACAGTTGGGAAGAACCATGAGTGGAACTGGGCCTTCGTTAGCTTCACCCTCCTTTTCTGTTTAATCTGGAGGGCACTGGGTAAGCAAGTCTCAGACTTATTAGTATTATTTGCAGTATTATTAAGTATTATTTGCAAGAGAAACTTTTTATCTCTTCTCAAGTAGAAAATGACAAAATTTAGACAAGGTCCTTCAGCTTGTGGAATGGTCTTCTTATTTGTAACATGTCCTAGATTGCAGGGTCAGCTTCCACCTTCCTCCAAAATGGAACCCAAAAATCAGTTCGGTCCTGGTCCTGCCCATCTAAAATCAGAGGCAGTCTGCTTGTTAGCAGAGTACATGTCTTTAAGTAAATGTTTATTTACAAATAAGCAACTTTTGCTTAAAAGAATTAGCAGTCGTTCAACAATTAAGCAGATTGTGTTTTTTTTTAAATTTATGTTTACTAGCTTTGGGATTTTCCCAGTCATTTGATGCATAAATAGCACCAAAACAAGAAATACTGTTGTTGAAGTGTTGTTCAGATATATATTGTGAAGAAAAAGTTCCTGTAAGAAACTGCTTGATCCCTCCTGAGTTTGCAGTGCTAGCTCTTTTTTTTTTTTTTTTTTTTTTTTTTTTACCTTGAGACCTAGGTGGATGTCAGGCTTGTAGGTCTTAAACCTGCCTCTCATCCCAATATCATCTGTAGTGATTTGGTCCCTCCATGTCCTGATCTGCCTCTGCACCCCTACTTCCAGCTCCCAAGTCTCCCTGCAGTGCAAAAATCTGGACTGTTTTAACCTCCTGTGCCTGCAACTCCACAATGAAAAGCTTATGCTGAAAAGCAGCCAAGCAGCCTGACTATCCTCCAGCTCCTGGCTCCCATGCTTGCTTGCTTCATCTACCTTTATACCTTTACTCCAGTACACCACATCCCTGAAGCCTTTGGTCCACCAGCATGCACTGGCATCTTCTCCCTCCATCCCCAGTCCTGCATCCTTCCTGTCTGTGCAAGTAAAATTAAGTCAGTGAATATGAGCTTGCATGATTCAAAGCACAGATTGATGGAGGTGACAGACCAAAGTGTTCAAATCCTATTAAAAAAAAAAAAAAAATCAGGAGTCTTGGTCTATAGTGACACAGAGAATTATTGCTGTTCTGGAGGTGCAGAGTCTAGCAGATAGCTGTCTTGTGGAGATCAATTTGCTGCTTCAGGTCCTAAATCCAGCTGACCTGAGGTGGTTAGCTTGCTAAATATGTTTAAGGTGGTGATCCTTAGGCATTTTAAATTTTTATTCCATGGTGTTTTCAAGCTGCTAAGTAACATTTAGTCTCTTCAATAGTATATAGGTAAGAAGCAAATAGAAGTGTTTTAAAACCAGTATCAGCATTGTAGGGGATTTCTATATAATTTAATTTATCTTTTTTCCCCTCCTCCCTGTATTTCTGTTTTTTTCCCTCAGGTGTTTTTGTTCTGACTCAGATCATTAATGTGTTCCGGACAATTCCTCTCACTTTTAAGGACCAATTTATTATCGCCTATGGAGGCCTTCGAGGAGCTATTTGCTTTTCACTTGTATTTCTGCTTCCTCCTGCTGTGTTTCCCAGGAAAAAGTTGTTCATCACTGCTGTTATTGTGGTGATATTCTTTACTGTTTTCATTCAGGTAATGCCTTTCCTCTTCTGGGCTTCTTTCTCAGACAGGTTGTAAATAAGCAATGGGTAGAAAAACAAATGTCCTGACTTACTGGAAGGAACATACTTGAAGGTACTTTCCATGGTCATAGTTTAAAAAAAAAAAAGTGCTGTGCCAATGGGTAGCAAAAGTATGCCAGATATTAAGTACTTATGATGATGTGTAAGTAGTATTAAGCACTTAAGACCTAGTAAGGTTGGAGTACAGATAATAGATAATCTGTGTACAGCCCCAGCGCTAATTCCTTGTTAGAATATTTAAAGTTGTGCGTTTACTCAGGAGTTTGGTATTGGATACAGTGCACTGTGACCAGGGGATGGAAGACACTGAGGGGACTGCGAGGTGTGCTGGAGTGTTTGAGTCTGGGTGTTAGGCAATGATGCTGCAAACCAGCTGGACATCCATCCAAAAGCACCAGGTGTGTGGAAGAACATGAAGAACTTGTCTCTGGTGTCAACCTGGCCATGGAGACCTGGTCAAGAGTGACTGAGAGAGGGAAGTGACTGAAACCAGCAAAATGTGGAGGAGGCTAAGTCCCTCCAATAAACATGTCAGGCTAGTCATTATCAAGAGCAATGAGAGAGATGTGAGAGGCTAGTACATGGAATTTCAGATCTGTGAGAAAAAAAAAAGGTTTTTTTAGCCTGCCTTTTACATGGATAAAGGTACCATGGAAAATAGCAAGTATCTGTGCTCATGCTTGGGAAGGGGGAAAAGATGACTGGAGCAGATGGAGGTCGGTTAGTTGACTTTAGTATATAAGCTGTGAAAACTGATTTTGAAGGATAGAATAGTTTAAAATGTGGAGGTGAATGGAATGTGTTATAAAGTTTAACATGGTTTACCAGTGGGAGACCTGGTATCATTCTTTGATAAGGTAATTTATGTTCTAGAGTGATTTCATCTAACTGGACTATTGTAAAATCTTTGGGGAAGGGGGCTACATAGGAGATTGTTAGCTTAACTGCCTGTTAAAATGAGGTTTAGGCTGACGTTAGGATGATTGTAAAGTGAATGAAGAAGGAGCTGACAGTGTCTCCTATAAAGGAAAATAAAAGCATATGGTCCTTTGGGTCAGAAAGGAACCTCTGGGGGTGTCTAGTCCAACCCCATTCCCAAAGCAGGGCCACCTACAAAGCTAGATCATGTTGCTCAGGGCCATGTCAAATTGAGTTCTGAATATCTCATGGATGGAGATTCCCCAGCCTCTCTGGGCACCTTCTCCAGCATTTGACCACCCTGGTCAGATAATAGGCTAATGAGATGTTACTAACGGAATTCCTCAAGGATGGTTCATGTGGGTGGTTTTGTTTAATATTCTTGTTATTGACCATGGCACGTAAACATAGGAATTTTTTGGTGCTGATGTTTCTTGATGACGGGCTTTGGAAGGTGTTGTCTGGGTGATAGCGAGATGGGGTATCATGTAGAAAGAAGAGAGTAACTGAGGGCCAATATGATAGAAACAGAATGAAATTTAACAGTAATAAGTGCAAACGTGTCCTTGCTAGAACTGTATTAATAGATATTTCTCTTATGAAGTGGGAACCTTTCATTTGGAAAAAAATAGAAAGGGAAAAAGAGACAGGTGTACCAGTTGATAACAAGGTGGAGTTTAAGCCACTAGAAAGGCAAATCTGATCTTAAGACATACTGAGACAGGTATTTCCATCAGAGAATAATGTCATGTTCTGGAGTGATCATGGGAGTGGTAAGCCTGTCATGTGAAAGGAGACCAGGATGCCTTGGCCTTAGCAAAATGGAGTAGAAGAGGGAATATAATTACTGTTTATATCAGGGAGTGAACACCAGAGAAGGAGCAACACTGTTTGAACTAAAAAGACAAATGCTGGCACAAGAACAAAGTGGTACAATGTGACCATGATGCAATTAAGAAGTAGCTTTCTAATTATCAGAACAATGAGGATCAGGATGAGTGTTCCAGTATGAGCAATGGGGCAAAGAAACCTAACTACTTTTAAGATAAAGCTCGATTCATTTACAAAAAGAAATATGTGACCTGGTTGTCTGGGATAGTAGGGACTGATGTCAACACCATTAGAGATTCATTCCTCTCCCCTCTGCCAGTGTGCCTATACAAATAAACAAATTATGTCAGTTCTTCCACAAATAATTGTTCAAAACCATGGTATCATTCTGGGATAGCCGAAACGTTTTGTTCTTTCTCTGAGTATAGTCAGCAAGGACACATATTTACAAAACTTTTAGTGTCATGGATCTTGAATAGCAATTTTAGTGCTACTGTTTACACATCTTTGAGTACCTGTTTTGTGAGTAATCATTAAAAAGAGGACTTTATATATTTGCCTTGGAATGATGGGGGATCTGTCTATTAGCTTAGAAAACAAGTGAGAGTTTTTCTAATACACAACAGAACTGAAAAAAAAATGTTTAAAAATATTATGGGTGGTGTAACTGATGTATTCCCGATGGGGTTTGTGAGGTTGCCCCTCTTGGACCTCTTAGCTCTACAGAGTCCCTTCCTTCCTTCTATTGCAGTAGTGGAGTCTGTATGTTGACAAGGACTTAATAGCTAAGTGCAAAAGCTGCTAATCACTAGAGTGAATTCATTATTATAATTATTGTGTCAGGCTGGGTTTTGGGTTTAGGAAGGTGAAAGGGTATCCAGAGCTAAAAAAGCTATCCACAGTCATTTTCAATGCTCTGACAGAGATGGAAAAGACTGAAAGGCTTCATTTTTTCTTTATGTTTATGGAAAAAAAAGCCAAAACAAAACCTTGTGTGACTTTTTTTTTTTTTTTCTTCACAGGGAATAACAATTCGCCCACTCGTGGAGTTTCTTGATGTCAAAAGGTCAAATAAAAAGCAACCTGCTGTCAGTGAAGAAATTTATAACAGGGTATGTTGCAGCTTCAGTGTCATAGATGAAACATTCATCTAGATGAAATTCCTAGTGGCATTCAGTAAGACAAGGCTTCAGAATGCAGTAGTACAGAGAGACACACACTCTTTTAGATTTCTTTTTTATAGGTGTTATAAGCACAGTAACTGTCAAACTTATATTTAACCTTTAGCAATTATCAAAATTAGCATTATTATGTATCATTATTTTGGAATCTTCACTTTCGTAATTGTTCAGCTCTTGAGGTAAATTAACTTCCTGCAGTTTGTTTCACATATGAGATACGTGTTATTTTAGAACTTGGCTACATTAGGGAAGCTTTGGCAATTGAATTATATCTGCATTTGAGATAGTCAATTAAACAAATATGAACTCCTCCTAAACACACTCTTAAACTTACTTAGCTCTCACATCATCAGCCTTTTTATGGATTTGTATTTGGTATGTGTATGTGTATGTGTCCAATTTTTGCAGTTTATTAGCCAGGCATATTCTTGAATGTATTTCTCCTTGCACAATACCTCCCATGACAGATGGTTTGAAATTCTAAAAATGCGGAATAATAAAGGCCGCATTCAGCAGAGAAGTCAATCTAGGCCTCATCCTTTTAGAGATTATCCATTGAACATGTCTACCAGGATTTCCCCCCATATTTAAGAGACCACTACTATGGCATTAAGAGCAAATGAGCTGCCTCTGGGGATCACGTGAGATCTTAGCTAAACTGATTCACTCTTTTGTAATTCATAATAGACTGAGGAAGAGTGTGTTTCTAATATTAGGTGCTCAGGATGCTTTGAGGTGAGTCTAGACCTTCCCTAAAATAGGAGCTCAAGACCTGATGCTGGGTATCTCAGCTCTGTCCTGTGCATCCCAAGGCATCAGTGCTGACACGGGGAGCTGCTTCCTACTCAGGCTCTCTCCTCTGCAAAGTCATACCTGGTTCACTGTCAGGCCTGGGGAGGTCCCTGGAGAAGTCACAGGCATAACCCTAAGTGGTTAAGGAACTTAAAAGAAATTAAAATAAGGGCGAAAAAAGTTACCTCCAGATTCAGGCAGGAGCTCAGCAAGACTGATGTTGAGGAAATTAGCAACTGACTTCTGTCCTTTTGGGACTGTGAGCTAAGGAAGCTCCAGGGGAACAAAAGAGTCTGGCTCTGAGTTTGGTTGTACTGCATTTATCACAGAATCATAGAATGTTGTGAGTTGGAAGGGACCCAAAAGGATCATTGAGTCCAGCTCTTGCCCCAGCATCGGACAGTCGCAAGATTCACACCATGTGTCTGAGGGCATTGTCCAAATGCTTCTTGAATATTGTCAGGCTTGGTGCCATGACCACCTCCCTGGGGAGCCTGTTCCAGTGCTCCACTAGAACTTCAGGTGAAGAATCTTTTCCTAATGTCCAACCTAAACTTGCTCTGCCGCATCTTCCTGCCATTTCCCCTGATCCTATCATTGGTCATCAGGGAGAAGAGATCAGGACCTGCCCCTCCTCTTCCCCTTGTGAGGAAGTTATAGACTGCAATGAGATCTCCTCTCAGCCTCCTCTTCTCCAGGCTGAACAAACCATACGACCTCAGCCTCTCCTCGTATGGCTTCCTCTCTAAGCCCTTCATCAATTTAATGTCCCTCCCCTGGACACTCTCCAGTAGCTTTATATCCTTTTTATACGGTGGCACCCAAAACTGCACCCAGTACTGGAGGTGAGGCCACACCAGTGCAGAGCAGAGTGGGACGATCGCCTCCCTCGACTGGCTCGCAGTGCAGGGCTTGATGCACCCTAGGACATGGTTGGCCCTTTTGGCAGCCAGGGCACTGCTGTCTCATGTTCAACTTGCCATCAACCAGAACCCCCAGGTCCCTCTCCTCAGGGCTGCTCTCCAGGCTCTCATTCCCCAGTCTGTATGTGTGTCCAGGGTTGCCGTGTTCTAGGTGCAAAATCCTAGGTGCAATTTAGTTAAACTGAAGCATTGTCCTGAATTCTGACTAACCTTTTCTGTTTTAAAGTAAGTTAGAAACTAATAGTATCTAAGGGCAAGCCAAGTGATGTCTAAAAGTTTATGTAATGAACAAATATTTTCCATTTAGTTCTTTGACCACGTGAAGACTGGAATTGAAGATGTGTGTGGACACTGGGGTCACAACTTTTGGAGAGATAAGTAAGAATGTAATTCTTAAAACTTCTGTTATACAGGAGAGGCTAAACTGGCTCGGCAGCAACAAAGGAAGGCTGCTGGGCATCAGATTTCATTTTCAGCATTTTATTCTTGAAAGGGGATGGTTGTTTTTAGAATGTGTGGGTTACAAAGGGAAAGCAGCAAAACAATGTCTTTTTACTAAACCACAAGCAAGTAGAACAAAATCTCCAGCTAAGAAGAAAGGCAGCCCTCTGATCCCAGGGTAAAGGCTTGTACCTTCTAAGGGTGCATGTCCTCTCCCTGTTTCTGACTGTTTCAGAGCATTTCCTGTATGTCTGCTGAGCCTTTTATCCCATCGAGCTTTCCTCCTGCAAATTGTACATCTCTGTGGTGTTAAGTGAGAGGTTAGTTCCCTATTTGATGGGAAACGTACAAAAGCTTTGGGACTTTCTCTGGGAAGATCAAGGCACTAGCTGGCATGAGGTGCATGAAAGATCCTAATGGCAGGCAGCTCTACAGTTCTTGATGCTATTATTTAAGACTTAGTGTCAATGAAGAAGATTACCACTGGCAATACCTGAATAATTCAGGTTTTCACTTCAGCTGCTGAATCACTGTCGTCATCATCATTGGTTTGGATCTAACTCCCCTTTCGCAGAAGCACACTCTTTTACACCCAAATCCTTTAGACTCAAAGCATGAGCATTGCCCACCCACCTTCTAGTTGCTGCTCCAACGAGAATTTAAGTGTTTTATAGAAAGAGGAGTAGCAACAGCAGGAAGGGCTGAGAAAAGCCCTCTCCAAATGATCTGAGAACAACACAATGGGGACCCTCTCCTGACAGATGCATGACAAGTGTACAACTTTACTTTGCTCAGCCTGGTTCTCCTCTGGTCTGTGTGAGATCTTTAACAGATTACAGAGCAAAGGAGGGTCCCACTTCTTCAGGACCTTCAAACCCAAATTCAAGAATAATTTCAGAATGGCTGGAGGACAAAATACTTTCTGACAAATAAAATCAATATTTTTTCACTAAGCATCCAAAAGGGTTGCAGTTGCTTTAGAGGGAGAACTTCCAAAGTTTTACAAGAGGGCTAAAATTTCAAAGGAAAAGCAGTCGGTGCAAATTTAGACCTTTTATTTGTTATTAAAGTAAATATTTAATGTTCTCTTTGTCTCAATGAAAATGGAGAATTCGAAATAATATTGTCCAATAACACAGAATATCTAAAAATTAAAAGTTGCTGCTAGGGAGACTGTCCATTAATGTATTAACCAAAACACAGGTTAAGACTATTTAGGTTACATAAAAACATAATAACATAGAAAGGGCTCAAGTTCTTAATCAGCAGTAGGTTGTAAATATGAACAGACACATTCCTGGGAAATAAACTCCTTCACAATTGCATTGGTTACAGTATGTTGTCTTTCCTTAACTATGCACAGTAAAAATTAACTGGTTGGGTTGGTTTGCCTCGTGTACAGGTTTAAAAAGTTTGACAATAAATACCTGCGAAGACTTCTAATCCGGGAGAACCAGCCCAAATCCAGCATTGTTTCTTTATACAAGAAGCTGGAAATCAAACATGCCATTGAGATGGCAGAGAGCGGAATGATAAGCAAGGTCCCATCGTCGGTGTCTCTCAGGTAAGCAAGTGATGCCAGCGTGGCCAAGCGTTTCGGCCAGGTCACATAATTTATTTCACAGTCCAGTCTGTAGGTGGGATAATCACTTTGACTTAGGACACTAAATGTCACCTGAACAGTAAGCAGGTACGAAACAAGAGTGTTTTGCCTGCAGCTCACACACGAAGCACTCGGTGAGCTGTGCTTGTCTGGAGCTTGTCGTTTTACAAGGGCAGCTGCTCACGGGAATATTGATTTACCATGGAGAATGGAGCTGGATTTGAACCAGTGCCTGACCGTCTGCTGCAAATAGCCACAGGGGAAGCCTGAGGGGCATTTTGAGAAGTACCTTAATCAAATCTACAATTTAATGTAATTTATATCAAATTCTGGAGATTGAGTTTTGAGCCTTACCACTGACTCAAATGAGATCAAGATTTCATTCCTACATGTCAACGTTTTCACCTGTTCCTCTGTTGTTTTGAAATGTTGTTTCCAACTCTAACAAAGGAAATAGTTAAAATGTAATTCCCAATCATAAAAAGAAAAACATTTTTCCTCTCTTTCTCTCTCTCTCTCTCTTTCCTCTATTTTCCTTTTTTAATCCTGCCACAGTGAATATCATGAGGGAAAGATAAAGCCGCTTTCTCCCACTGAAATGGAAAACATGCGGGAAATATTGACGAAGAACCTCTACCAAATACGACATCGAGTAAGGATGAAGTTTTGCATACTTATATGTCCCACTACTATCTGAATATACTGATTGTCTTCCTAACATATCTTTGGGCTAGTACATCTGCTGTACCATAGCATAATAATTAATGCTGTTGTTTACTTCTGTTGCCTATGAATCCATGTCCTATCATATGTGCAGCTGCATACTCATACTCCTTTATGTAAATACCGTACTTGATCTTACACATTTGATAAAGCTTAATGTTTTTGTCATATTACCTGCAATTTACTTCCATTAAAAAGGATCATAGGTGCAAATTCAACCCAACATTGTCCACTTAAATCAGTATTTTGGTCACTTCGTATAGGATTAGATTTCCCATTTGCCTCCAGTTGTGCATTTGTATTAAGAGCAGAGGTGATGAGCTGGAAAAACAGTGAAATAAAAATAAACGGACATTTCACATTTACAGTCCTGTGGCTAAGTAGTTTGAATGCCTGAGTCCTTGGAAAGTATTCAGAAGTGGAGCAAGCTTCAGCTTGCTGGAGGTAAAAGTGACTTCCCCCTAGGTGACTCATCACTTTCAAATGTGTCCCCTCTATTGATGTATTGAGTGAGCTAGTATAATGTGGGGATAAACACTGTATTAAGCCAGCTTTTTCCAATTTCTCTTTCATAATAAGTATCATCAGGTTAAAAAAAAATCAAACAAAACAAGGGCTTGTGAAGCAGATGACTAAAAAAAATGCTGACATAATTACTGTTCTTGTTATTAATCTGCAATATGATTTTGTTCACAAGGATTTATGATGCTTATTAAAACATTAAAGCAAAAAGCCTGTTTTGCACTGTGCATATAGTTCAACACATTTGACATTATGCTTTTCAGAATATGACTGCTGCTTTTGTATTTCAGACAATGTCATATAACCGACATAGCCTGGCTGCAGATGCAAATGAAAAGCAGGCCAAAGAAATTCTGATCCGTCGCCGGCACAGCCTTAGGGAGAGCCTGAGGAAAACGAACAGCCTGTCCAGAGAAAGACCGGTACTTGCATGTCGGTTGCTTATAGAAACCAGTTCTTTGTAGCTAAATGTCATGCAGAAAAAAAAGTATGAAATGCAGAAAAATAAATCCTGAATTTGGAAGACAGCTGCACAAACAATGTCACACTTACACCTTCAGTTGCGCACGAGTCCCTTAATTTGTGTTGACTCCTTCAGCAAAGCTTCGGTCTTGTGGAATGTGATATGGGAGTAGGATCTGCTGCCATAATTTTATCTCAGAGGAACTGAACAGGCTGTGTACAGAGTGTACTTCTAAGGGATGGTCAGTCTTCTTTGTCGGGATTTTGATGAAGTGTGGATGATCGAGGTCGAAAATGACTTTGAGACAGAAAAATTACTTAGAGTATGCTCCAAGATATGGGAAACAGAACATTTAATCGAGCCAGTCAGAGTGAGCTCTTAATTTGAAAAAATGTTGTGGACTCTTTAGTGTTCATAAAATGTAGTCAAGACTTCAGGTTTTGGCACAGAATAGGAAAAACCCCTCTGCCTACAAGAAATGCTGTGGCATGGTAATATTTGGCTCTCTGAGGCAATCTCGCAGTACCTTCACTGTAAACTTCAGATCATATTTGATTGGAGCACACTGATTCAACAAGGAAGCTAATACACCAAATTATCTTGACATTTTAGATCTCAGGGAAATAAACCATCCTATAAATATGTATTTTCATGTTACAGGTATACTTAGTGTTGTCTTCATTGATACAGTTGTCCTTCAGCAGCTGAGGCTGGAATGATGTCTCCAATAAGTGCTGTGTCTCATTTGTGATCATTACCAGGGCTACTGTGGTGTTAATTGTGACAATAAGACTGTTCCTGAATTATTTTTTTCTTCTCTCAACCACAGTTACATATGTTATATTTGTCATGCAAATAAATTATTTAATAAGTGGAATAATGAAGAGACTCAGAAGGATTGAGACATTTTTGGGGCAGAGAGAGGAACAGGGTGTCTGACAGCTTTTTAAAATGCACATGCTGCAATTTTTAAAATAATTATCCTTGGATAAATCAAACAGAGAGGGAAGCATAGTGGTCCTGAGCAGCACAACAATATCCAAAGAGGAGAAATCTCTCATGGCAAATAAAGTTCCTTTCAGGTTCCCTTTGAGTGTGCATCAATGAATGGTACAAGCAGAGGAGAGCTGGTAGACTGTACAGATTTAAAAAAAACCCTTTTTTACAAATGTAAGAAAGGATGCCCTTGAGAAACTTTTGAATTTTAAAAAAAGCAACCTGTCCTGGAAAGTACCTCTCATGTTCCAGGAAGTATGAGGTGTACTCTGCTCCCAGGGCCTTTAGAGCTTAGTCTTGGGAAAACAAGGATTTTATGCCCCAAACGGGTAAATGATCACGTTGGTGCCTAACTTACCCAGCAACTTCAGTGTGACTAGTCAACTGTATCAGGTCATTTATATGTATAAAGTGCTTGCAGGATCAGAATACAGATTAGTTCCTGTGTCTGAGCTTCAGTCTCAACCTGATTTTTGCAGCTGACTAATAAAAAGTTTCAAACTGGAGTTGCATAAAGTGATGCCATGCTTACAGAATTTACCTTCCTTAGGAAAACCTGTACAGGTAAGGTTGAGGTTAGAGAGAATACATTTATTAACTTTGATCTCAGAGGGTTTATCACTAGGCTTTCCTTTGATTAAGCTGCTTGAGATTACTCAGTTTTATTTAGCACAGACATCAACCAGCAATCAGCATTAACTTGAGTGTGTAGTAAAAGATTACACATTAGCTAATTCCAAACTATTCTGCAGCCCTTTAGCTATATAAACTCGTTCAAGCCTCAGTTGTGTTATTTTAAAATACATTATGCTGGTACTTCAGTCTGCAGTAACTTAATATTTCTTATATTTTTTTGCATGCAGGCTGCTGCAAATACAAAAAGATTCCTTTCACTTCCTAAAAACACTAAACTCCCAGAGAAACTACGAGTGAGAAATAACACATCTTCCAGAGGTAATGAAGAATTTTGTGCTTTCTCTTACTGTGCTGCAGTCATTTTGCATATGTAGATGGAAAGTTTTTCCAGAGATGACATAGAGAAATCAGCATATTAATTTTCAAATAAATATTAAATGTTTTATGTGCACTTGCTTTCATTCTAAAGTTAATACCTTCATAACATATTTCTTGGTATTGGATATTTAGTAGAGGTCTTAGAGCATTAAAAGTGATGGATCGTAAAGCAGGTATTTGAGTGTTGGGACTTTCTCTGTTCAAATGCCATAGTGGCATAGTCCTCCCAGCACATTTCCTCATGTGAGCAAGCAGCAGCTTTAAACATGTCTGCACCAGAAACACTGCCATGGCTCATTCTCCTTGTCTTTATTCCTTAGTGTCCAGATCTCTGTCTTGAATTATAAGCTTATTTTTTTTCTTTTCTCACTGAGGTCAGGGTAGAGGACACTGCTCTGAGAACCAAACCAGAGAGGAGAATGAGGACATGAGGTCTGGTTTATAGTTCTCATGAAGAACTTCTCAAAATGCTGTGGTTTACAACCAAAATATCTTTTTTTTCTGCCTAAACTCACTAATCTTTTATATTGGAGTTCTTGAATTCTAACAGAAAAACAAAACAAAACAAAAACTAAAACATCTGGAAGAAGACAACCATTTGATGTGAAAACTTTTCCCAATTCTGTATATTAATTTTGATTATTACCAGCTGTATTACCACGCTTACACCATGCTCAGGAACATTTCCTTTCATGACAAGCAACCATCAAGATCTCTTGCTCGGAAGGTTAAATCTCTGCACAGTCACTAAAATGTCCTGATCCCACTCTTCCAAATTAATTTAGCAATAGATCGTGTTTTTATCGGTTAATAATTACATCTTTGCTCTCCTGAATGTAGGATGCCTTTTATTCTGTGGTTATATCTGCAGAGGTCACCTACTGTCACCTAGAATTAAAGAGGAAATGTGCCTCCAGATTATTCAGTTGTCAAAAAATATATTATTTAACATATTTAGGGAGGGGGAAAGCCTGCAAACACAGTCTGATGAAGACCTTCCTTGATATATAATTATCTGGGTGAATGGCCAATTATGTGGTGATAGATTTTGTTGACTCCTTCCTTACCTTTTTAAAAGAAATAACATGTAGGCTACTAATGGAAGTTGTTCTTATGACAGTTGCTTGCACAATACACAGTTCTTTATTTTGATATATTTAAAACATCATATCTGACTTAAGTCTAAGAACAAATCTGAGGCATTCATAAATTATTTTTAAATGATTATCAGATGACTGAAGTGTGCAAGTTATGATGAAGCTGTTAATCAATTTAAAATAATTTGATGGGGAAAACATAAACACACGTACACGTCCAGAAAGTTTCCAGCTTGATTTACCTGGCAGTGATAATTTAAGAGCATTCCCTGAATGATGATGCAAGCTTTCCCTTCACCATTTTCTACCCTACTGTGAGGGGGTGAAGGAGTTCACAGCACTTGCAACCTGTGATTGCCTTGTGGATTTTCTTTGGTATTTTACATTCAGGCGTATTAAGGATGGGAAGTTTCCTCCCATCTGTGCATTGACCCTGGGAGATCCTTTGCTTGATGGAGTACTGCTGCTCCTTTTCCAAAGTCAAGTTTCTAGAGCCCCTGTACATGCCATGCTCTGGAAATGCCTCTCACACGAGATTTCATGGGATGTCAGGGTGAGAAATCTCATTTTTGTAACCTGCTTGGATGTAAGCAGGGACTAGACCCGAAGTAGCTCAGAGACATACAGGTTCTTCCATGTCCAGAGCCAGAACTGGGGAAATGCCAACTCAAACAGGGGGCCACTTGATGATTAAAGTGCAGCTGAGTGAGGGCTTTCTAAAAATCACGGTTTTGAGGAGATGGATGTTTGTAAGTCAAATCTATCCTCTGTCTTGGCAGAGTTAAGTGTCTGTTACTGGGTCTCATCAGAAAGCACTGAATTTAGAAAACATGGGAAAATTTTTTTCTATGGCTGCTAGTGCTCAGTGTGCTGTTATTTGAATATTCCTGAAACAGTAATATTCTACACCTAAAATTATTTTGTTTTCAATTAACAGTGGGTGACAGCAGTGACTCTGAGATGGATGCCACTACCACAGTGCTCAATCTGAGACCCAGAGCAGGGAAAATCTTGAGAGACCAGAGACTGAGACAGCAGAGGCCACCACCTGAGTTTAGGGTGGAGTGGAAGAATGAAGTTGACGGGAGCCAGGATGCACGAAGAGAACAGCCGGAGCCAAGCACCTTGCCTCAGCCCTCCATTGGGTTCAGGCAGCCACTGCTGACGAGACCAAGATTTGGCACTTTGAGCAGGGAAGATTTGACTGCAGACCATGGGTCAGCAAGACCTGTGCCACCACCACGGTTAGTTAGGCAGGCATCGCAGGGGGAAAGGCAGAGAAATAAGCCTGAGAACCAGACGTACTGAACATACCAAAAAGAGAACTATTGGTAATAAACCATGGATGTATTGAATCCAGATTCTAAACTATCTTATCAGCATATGGGATCCATTAAAAAACAAAACAAAACAAAACAAGCCTCAATGTGGATCTAACCACTTCCATTTGGGTGAAGTAATTAACTAAGTGAAAGGAATACTGGAACAATTGCAGAGCTGAAGACATAAAAAAAACCTTTTTATGAATAACTGATGCAATGCTTTAATTACATTATTTCCACTATTAAGATAGGATGGAAATGTGCCTTATCACATCATCTCTTGTGGAACCAAGTCATCTAGTTATCCATTGAAAATCATTGTTGAAAGTCCAGTGATGAATGGATTCTTAAAAAAAATCTGTATCATTTCAGATTTTATTCATAGTCAAATATAACTTGTTTTAACCAGAGCTTTAATATGACTAACACTGAAAATTGCACAATGCACCTATCATATAGACTTTGTAAGAAGAATAAATGTATTCCTGAAGCCCAGTTTGTTCAAAGAGCGGCGATGCAGGGAAAGAAGAGAAGAGAAGGAACAAGCTGTAGGAGCAGAACTGCAAATACAGTTTATAGAGAGGAGTTGCAACAGAGACAAGACCTGAATAGCTTGAATTTTTGCTTTCTGAATTTTTGGCAATATGTAAACTTTTGAAGGTACTGAGGATCACCAAAGGAAATCTGAATTACCTTGACTTTCACTAATGTCAGCAAGAGCTGAGAGCACCTAGCAGGGCACCAGAAGCCCTAAAAAGAGAAAACTTCAAGTGGATAAATAATGTTCTTATTCAAAATTGCTTTTTGCACCTTAGTTTTTTGACTGCAGTGCAAACACAGCAGTAGAATAGTTGCAGAGCACTGCAGGTAGAGAAAGCGAGCAGTCTCCTGTTTGAGTCAGGGACCACTGAGACTCAAGAAAGCTCATTCACTCATGCTTGTGACCCTGGTCAACTTGTTTTACTTTTTGTTTCCTCATCTGTAAAAGGGGAAAGATAATCTTTTCTTTGTCTGAACTATGCACTCTAAGGAACAAAAATGTTCCATCTAATTTGTTTGTACAGAAAAGTAGTGCAGCAGGGCCTTGGAATCAGTTGAAGTCACTGTGCACCTTAATAACACCCGTAAGAAACACGGACTTCATTCTAGCATAAATGGCTGCCATTTGAGGGCAAATGGGAAGGGAGGGTGCATTAAAATAAATTATACTTAACTGTAGCTCTCAGGAATTTGCACTTTCTGTCCCACTTGATCTGTCTTAAGTTTTGAGCTTGCTTTAGCACAGCTACACATTTCAGCACAATGCAGGAATCATTTTCATTCTACTTGTTACAATATTGATAATTTTAATTGAAGAATGTACACTGTGAAATCATAACTTTTCTTTTTCATTAGCACATTTCTAAATCTGTGGGCAATAAGTTTTTTTTATTATTTAAGCTTGTTTTGAAAGAACTATTAAAAAATCACGATTTCCTTTTAAAATCACAGGGTAGATTTCTTTCAAAGGTTCATGGGTGGGGGTGATAACTTAGTTTTATAAATGGGGATTTAAGACTTTCCTTCTTCTAACAGTTTTTCCAAATTATTTCTTTCATGTATGTATTTGAAATGTCAAACTGTCCTAAACTCTTTTATTGGCACAGGTCTTTTAGTCTTTTTCCTCTGTTCTAGCTATGGAAGTTTCTGCTGTGTGTCAAATGCAAAGTCTAAGCTGCAGAGGGATGGCTATATGAATCCTAGAAATCTCAGTCAAATGTTCCTGGTTATTCTCAAAAAATTATTTTTATGGAAGGCAATACTTAGTTATCCTTTAATAACCATCTCCTGTTTGGAAATAAAACTGGGTTCAAAGCAAGCCAGCAAGATTTAAAAATAAATTTGAATTTGTCTTTCAACAGGAAAATATGTTTCATCTGTAAGATTTTCAGTGAGTACCCTGTCACTGCATTATTGGGATCATGTTTGAGTAAGAAAGAAGCCTTGAGTTTGGATTTGAGTTTTCAAACCATGTCCTCCTTGCAGATCAGACTGTTTAGATTAGATGTTTTATATCAGGCCCATCTGAAATCTTGAAAAAATAAATAAATAAATGTGAAATGTTTCACAGCAACGTTTAGTTTACTCCCTGTGGAGCTTTCTCTTCCATGTGCTGGTAATGACCAAGCAATTGGCTTGTATCTGGGGAAAGCTGCCTTTTTTTCCAGTGATTGTAATTTTTTATGGCACAATTTTAAATAATGAATGCAGGTTTCAGGAACCTCACTGCTTTGCTGGTTTGTCCATTAGCACAGTGCACGCTCAGATCGTTGGTACTTAAAAGTGTGTGCCCCATGACATTGTTTTTATGAAATATGGTCTTAAGCTCTTGGTGCTTCAGAACATGCTAGCACATTGTTACCTTTCCAAAGCCCTTTGAGATCCACAGAATCCAAGCATCAAGGTAGATCTCCAGCACGGTTACACTGTGAAGCAGAATCACAAATCCCCTGGGATTCTCTCCTCGCAAGTGCTCTCTCCCCTCCTCACTCCTGCTCCTCCCACCCTTTTCAAGCTTCTTTTTCACTACTGCTGGGTCATACCCTCATCACTTCTGTGAACTGTGTTCCTGGGTGATCTCCTTTTCAGTAGCAATGACAGCAGCAGGTGACACAGGCTGTGTCCCAGGAAGCCCTTCTCATTCAACTCTTGCTCTGGTTTCCGTCAGAGGTTTGCCTTTTCCTATCTTTTTTTCTGTTCCTTCAAAGGAAAAACAAGTTCAATAGCACTTTTTCTTTCTCAAAGGCCCATCTAACTTTAGTTTGCAGAGGAGACTTTTCCTTCATGTGGTATCAAAAAAAGTTTGTCTGCTGGAGAATTAAATGCCCAATAAATCTGTCCTCGAGCACCATCTAATGGGGAAAGTCAAGTATTGACTGGAGACATGTTTAACTTTTTCAGGAAACTGATTCAGCAGTGACTGAGAAACTTGCCAGATCCACATACAATTATATTTCCGGATGGACTCCCCAGTACACTCTGTAATCTTGATATTTTACTGCCTTGGGGAGGAAGCACAATGCCCAGTTGTCCAGTTTTAGACAGTAGGAAAAAATATGTGTCACTCTCAATTAGTTTTCTGGGAGTTTCTTTTCCCCCCTTCAGCTGTTGAAAGTAAATAGGAAAAGAAAGTAGGTATAGCAAGGGCTAGAAAATAGACAGACATCCAGTTATCTGTTTTAAGCAGATATTTGAAAGCAAAAACAAGACTAATTTGCCATAAGAGGCAAAAGTTTAAGAGCTGTCCTACTTGGTACTAAAGTATAATGCCAGCTCCACTGAAACCACAGGTGTTCAACAAAAGAAAACTATGCTGCATAGCAATTTAGAAACTTGAGAATATCCTTCTCCACTGAAGCTACATAGAAATCACGTGGAGAAACAAAGTTAAAAATTTGGTCAAAATAACATGCATGCTGTTACTTTATCTTGTGGTCTCTAGGAGCAAACACACTGCACCCTGCACCACCTTTTTCAAGAGATGCCAAGTCCACCAATTCCAGACACCAGGAACATTTTAAGGCTGATACTGCAAGAAATGCTTCAGCTGGTCACCATTTCCAAAATTGTCTTAAATTCTGCCAACATCCCCCAGCTCCTGAAGAAACAATGAAGGATTTTGAAGTTTGCTGGAAGAATGCTTTTTGTACTACAAGAGCTCTGATCCTATAAAAGCATGCTTGTGAATATGCTTAAAACATGGCATCTCCAATACACAGCCCCAGCCAGACCAACAATAGCTCGGAGGCAGGAGAGATAGGAGGACTTAACAGTCCTTTTTTTATCACTCATTTTAGAAGATCATGATATAACTTGCACTTACTAGATAACCTGCAGCTGTGCTTAACATTGTCAGTTGAGTGAACGACCATGAGGAAGCTGTCTTACAACTTCGAAGTCAAAGAGTTTCATCTCTCTCGGCCTATTTGTTAGAAGACCAGTTAAAAGTGAAGCTACTTTAAAAAACCAAACCAAACCAAACCAAAAAACAACCTGGCAGCTTAATAAAAAAAAAAACAATTGAAGGAACCTTAGCATTTGGGAGTTAATCAAAGTTGAGGGTGAAGATTGTCCATCTTGGATACTGTCCTGAGCCACTTGAGAATCTTGCCCATCAGAAGAATTCTTCTTGCAGGTGGTAGACAGATCTAACAGAACAACATGATGGGAGATTGGGTTAGCATCCTTCCTCTCCCAGGCTGGCAAACATTGATGCGGTTCCTGCACAGCCTGTGAGATTTGACAGAATATGAGGGACTAAGAGTGCAGAAGGGAAAGCAATAGTTGCGCTGGCTTCTCTGGTGAGTCTCACTGGTTCATGATTTGAAATGTGCTCAGGTATAAATTCGTGACTTGTGAGTTACAACAGCACCCTAATTGCCGTAAGTTTCATGTCAAAAAGTGGGGTTTTTTTGTCACAAAAAAAGAAAAGGCATTTTAAATACCCCAGATTACTTTATTTTTTAGATTCAAGACCTCCTATTTATTACAAATTTGACAGAATGGAAGAGCAGTTCCTGTAGCACATCTCAAAAATAGTTCTTTGATGCTAATTTAGGATTTAAAATAACTAGAAATTTGGCTTCATTTCTCCTTCTAAGTCAACACAGTTTTTTTCCAAGACTTCCCTTTAAAACAAGCTCCATGAACTCTTTCATTTTTATGAGAAAGAAGTCTGGGAGCTCCACTCACAATCATTTGATTCTCAAAGCTCAGGCTCTAGTATACTCCCTTACACGATTCATGATCAGCTCTTTGTGAATGAGTCTTCAAAATTACAGGAACAGGACAGTTGATCTTGGGTTTTCAAATCCCAAAGTGCCAAGCTATAAAGCATCACTTACCCAGGGGTTTTCCACAGCACCCATAACCAAAGGGGGACGGGCAGCACCTGAACGTACCCACAGAGGTTCCCATCAGCTAGATTGTGATGGCATTACAGAGTGGTTGAAGTAACAAGCAAGCCAGTTTGTAAGTGACACTTGTCCTGTTTCGCTGCTGCATCATCTGCTCAAAAGTCAACCTCTTCTCAGAAAATGAGAATGGTTCTGACCTCTGTGATGGTGCTGCAGTGAGTAAACTCATTGAAAAGAAAACAGGACAAGAAACTGAAATCTGCAGAACTGGGTGTTCATAAAGGATCTCTTCAAATGTTGTCAGCATACACCACCATGGAATAAATCTTACATTTGCTCATCATTTAAAAGCAACAAAATCAGAACCTATCATATGCTACCAGCTGTTTTACAGAAACAAATTACTATATTGTATACACAGCCCCTTCAGCTGATCATAAAAGTCAGAAAAGTAGTCACTGTTAAAAAAGTGAAAATTTTAAAAGGTAGAAAGCAAAACAAAAAAACCAAACCCAACCCTTCCTACAAGCCCAAGAAAACCAACGCAAAACTAAAGAAAGAGCAAGCAAGAGAAAAATCTTAATTTGCAGTGATTTGCAGGTAGAAACATTTTTCTTTAGTCCATATTCAGATCTCTGTTTTGTTAGTCTTCAGATATCACAACTAGATTCAAGAAACTGCTGAGTAATTCGGTAAAGCCCACTAGACTGAAGCCAAAAATAGCTGCAGGTGCTTCTCCCTCAACTTAAAAGGGGGAGTCCCATCTCCTCATCTCTAGGGGTGTCATTTACTCATCAGTGTCTGGATATGGCAACTAAGAGACAACAGAGGGGATCCAAACATGGTCTCCAGGCACTAGGAACAGTACCTTCAAGCACTCCATCTCAAAACTGGTAAGGTCCCTGTTTTCTTTTATTTCTTCTTTTTCATTCACTGTCAAGCCACTTCTTGGTTCAATCCTTGGTTTCTGTGCTTTTTATGTGAAAAGTAGCCAGATTCAAATGATCATTTTAAGGAACAGCTTGAAGAAAAAGAAAAACAAAACATCTGCACTTCAGATTGACTTGAACACCTCTATTTTGTGCTATAGTTTCAGCAGAGGAAGAGGGGAAAAAACACAGCAACAAAATTATAGATGTGGAATGTCACTTAATTTTATTTCTATTCCTTAAAAAAAAAATAAAAAAAAGGGCAACTTTTCTGTAACTCAGTCTTTACAAAGAAGAAATCATTTTGGCCTCCAAGTAAAAACTCTTCTTCTGTAACATCAGTTGCAACAGGTCCCTGAGACCACAGCCTTCCACAGATTTCTCAATTTGATTATTTAATTTCATTTGTATTTAGTGTACATGTTGAACTATTTTTCAAAATAAAAATATTTGCTGATTGTGGAAAGCATGTTTTTCACTTATGTGTAAACAAAAACAGTGAAGTTTTGAATTTTTTATAAGCAGAAAAGCAATATACAGGCAGCTGTGTATGTTACTATAAACTGAATTTTAAGGTGTTTACAGAATTCAGCTTTAATCAGTGCAGCAGCAGGTAAATGTTACCTGTTACCTCATATAACCAACAAGTATAGTAAAAACTACTAAATCTTTCACATATATTCATTTTTGAGATTTTCTCTACCCTTTTCCTTCACCTTTTCCTGTAGTTGCAAAACAGAAGTCCCTGACTTATAGAAAGGTGGTTTTAGGTTTGCTTTTTTTTTAAAAAAAAAAAAAAAGGTGGAAAGAAAGAACATAGGAAATTTACGGTGAGAATGTCTTGGGACATCTACCATGCAAGACAAGAGGAGGTAAGACACTTGCAAATGCCTCAAGTTCCTAGGGAGAAATGAAACACAGATTATTACAACAAGGAACTCTGAGGATATGTACTGAAATCATAGCAGTAATAAGACACACACTCATTACATATGAGTCAATATATTAAATTAAAACAACTCAGAGTTCTATACATATACCCATGGTGCTGCCACTAGAATCACTGAGGTTTCAACAAGGATTTAAATGACAACAGCAGATGAAAAGGTAAAGAATAAAAACAAAAATAAAAAAATGAAAAACACTATCTATGATTCTTCTGAAGCAGCAACACTATTTGCCTGGATCTGTGCAAGGAGGTAACTAAATTATTTTCATAAAACAAAACAAAACAAAAAAACCACCAAAACCAAACCAAAACAAACCCACAAAAAACCCCAAACCCAAACAAACAAAAAACCCAACAAAAGCCCCAACAATTATACATAGCTGACTTTGCACTTTCATCAAGTAATACTAGGAAAAGCATATGGAACATTTTCAGTGCAAAATACATTTTACATATGTTTCAAATGAAATGCAAACAGTACTGACTGGCAAGTAATGTGAGCTTGAACAGTAAATAGCACAGAAGGGTGCTCCAACTCTCAGTACAGCTCTGAGAGTAACCTCTCATTAGTTAAATAGTGCAGATAAATGAAGACTATAATACCAACAAATAAGCAGTCTTGTCACTGAAATGTCACTTATGCCTCCAGACATGAGAGAGAATGCATTACTACAGATCCATGAACTACTGCTAGTTGCTCCAGCACACCTTTACAGTCATTCAAAAGAATTAAGAAGCAAAATTATTCTTAAAATGAAGACAGAAAAACTGCAGAGGAAATATTAACAGATAATTTATGACAAAGTTGCTCAGTAGAAGTTATTACTAAACAGAAACCACCAGGTCAAGTTTCAATAAAGCTTACATTCAGTCTCAGTTTCAGTCTGAATGACTCCATATTATTCTAAAATTGTCCATTTTAAGTCTTCTAATACATGAAGTTAGCATACATCCAGTTCTGTTACCTGGGAAAGACCAGGAATCAGCAAGGGTTGGATGGCTACTCCAAGATGCCTAATCATGCTGTGCAGCAAGTTATGTAGATAAAGTATGCTTAACAAAATCACATAAGCTAACACTGTTAATTAAGCTACTGTTACAGCAGACAAATGGCAGCAGACCACAGCATAAGAAATTAAGGCTAACGAGCTATATTGCAAATTGTCCTTCTGATTAAACAATAAAAATTCACCTCTAATTAAATAATAATAATAAATTTCTGTCTTTTAACAATCTCTTAATCTTAACACCGTTTCAAATGTGAGCTACAAGCAGGATTTGTATATTTCACGTCATTCTTTTTTTCCCTCCAAAAAGGTTAAAAATCCATTAAAAAAATCCCAGCCAGTATAACACAGCAACATTTGTCCTTCTCACAAGTGTCCTAGTGGTACCAGTTAGAACGACATTTGTCTAGATTAACGTTGATTAACATCCCTGGAGCAGAAATATTTGTATGTACTTGACTCCACATGAACATAATGTGCCCTTTTAAAAGATCCTGTTACTACTGTACAAGTCTGGCAGGTGTAAGCATCACCTCTGGTTGATTCATATGCCTCTCCTGGAAGATACCTCTAAGCAATCTCAATCTGCATCTATTGATTTTTTAACTTAACACTTCCATGGCTACAGTATTTTTGTTTGTTTGCATTCATTATCAGAATAGCTACTAAAGCTAGTCCAACCCCTAGACTTGGAGGGCCACAAGGACTGAACTCCTGAGCAATTCCAGAAAGGAGTGGAGCAACTATACGTCCCACTGATGTCACAGACTGTCCAACACCTAGGAGCGTACCGCTGGCCTCATTCCCACCGATGGTCAATTCAAGATCAATGATACAAGTACGACCTATAGTAGTTGAAAAGGCTAAGAATGTGGAAGACAAAATGACCATCCATATGCTCAGCGCCGATGCATACAGGAGAATCAACGTGCAGGTAAGAGTGCTGGAATGTAACAAAATTCTGTAAGTGTTGTGCTGATAAAGTCTTGTTATTGGTCCGAGCAGACAACCAGCCAGGACGCCCAGTGCACTGCTGTAGCTCAATAAGTATCCGGCGAACAACGGCTTCACCCCAAATCTCTCCTCCAAGGCCAGACTGAAATTACTATAGTACAGCAGTATAGCAACAGACATCAGCAACCTCACTAAAAATATATCCCACAGATCAGAGCACGCAATTCCTTTAATCCTCTTCAGCACTGTTGCAACTTGGATCCATGGAGACCGGAAAAGAATATCGCTTGTTGTGGCCCCATTAGTTGCTGATTTCGAGTGCAGGTCACAATTTGCTTTTGCTGAGAAACTGTCTGTTCCTTTGTTGCCTTGTTGATGTTCTCTACTGGCAGTGTTTTCTTCACTCCAGGGTAACATCCAGACAAGACCTACATAGATCATGAAATGAGTTGATTTCATTTAATCACATTAACTTTACACGGAAGACATTAGCCTGATTGTAACAGTTTAGGTAGTGTGAAGATCAAAAGTCAAAAAAGGGCTTTAACAGTTATTTAACTTTAAAAAATTACAAAGATTAAGTCTAGTGTTATTGACAGCATCAGTTCGATTTTAAATGCGGTGAAAGCAAGGGAGGAAAACAGTGAAGTGACACATTCACAACATATAAACAAATCTAAAGGCTGAAGCCCAGGTTCTGTTTTCTAGTCTACATATTTGGGTACAGAAAAATCCCCATATCTGAATGTAAAAGTGATGTCATAGAATCATAGAATGATATGAGTTGGAAGGGACCTTAAAGATCATCTAGTTCCAACCCCCTTGCCATGAGCAGGGACACCTTCCACTAGACCAGGCCACTCAATATATGTATATATATTGTATAGATACAATACAAACTAGAAGCATCTGAAGATTAACTGTTTCAAAATTCTGCCCTTCCACACACATTCCAATTCAAAGGGTAGTACCAATACTCAGAACATATATGCCGTAGATGATAAAAGCGTCATGAATTCAAGGTACTACATGTGGCATAAAAACACAGAAGTGCGGAGCGAAGGGACTCAAGATGCAAAATACGACATACAACTTACCAGCATTCAGAAGGAAGATAGAGGCACAGATGAAAGACGTTTGATAAAAGCCATCCTCCAGCTCTGTAAGGTAGCCACCAACAACAGGCCCCAGAATGAAGCCCACACTAGAGGCTGCATTGAAGCGTCCCATTACTAAGGGGCGATCTCTCTCAGAAACCAAGTCAGAAAGCAGGGCTTTGGAGATGGAGAGTGTGTGTTTGAAAATACCTGCAGCATAATATAAACAAAGTAATAAACATGTATTGCTCAGTCAAAAAGATTTAAAATGACTGAAGCTGTCTAAAATATCAGTGTTCAAAATGTATTTTTTAAGATTCCATAAATCACAAATTCTTCGGTGCTAGATTCATGCAGCACATTGGGCCATGGCCATCATCCTGCCTACTGGCATTTGGACTTAGGAATCAAAATTATTCATGCATCTGTGCTGAAGGAGTGCTCCTGCAGCACTGCTGAAAGAAGTAACTTAGCTGAGTGCTGGAGCACACTAGGAATAAAACAGCTGCTAAAATAGGAAATTATGGGTGGGTAAGGGTGGAGTAGCAATGGCTTGTCTGTTTATGAACATAGCTCTGTACCAACTTTGCTGAGCATGGACATAACCAGGATTGTAACATACCACATTCACATGGGAGACTGGTGGGTGGCAAAAGAACAGAAGGGTAAGCATACTGCAGGAATACTAATGCAATTTTTTGTGCTCTTTCACTCTCATCAGAGCAATACTGTCATGGTGCTGTTAGCATTAAAAATTATTACCTTTACTATGTAATCAAATATCAACCAAATAATTCATTAGCAAATTGTCTTTAAATTAAGAAACAATATAAACAGTTCCTAAATCAAGACTATGTGCCATAAAAATGCCCTTTAGTAGATATTTTCACAGTAATAGCAATGCTTATTATATCATCGTATATGCAAAAGGTGTTGAGCTGTTGTAAGAACTCTGATATGAACCTTGGCACAAACTTAGCCTCAGTGTTGCAAACGTGCATGCTTTTGCACAACATAAATATTCTGTTGAAGCAGTGATCTAAAATTTCAGCCAAATTTTGTACTGTCACTCTGAGGTATATTTTCAGCATAAGAAAAAAGCAATAATGCACATATTATTCCACTCTGCATTGCAAGTGCAGGACAAGATTTTCAGCAGTGATCTGGTGTATTGTGTACCTGCTATGACTAACCTTACAACAGCCTCTTTCAAGGAACTGCTGCACTCCTATTCTCATGTAATTTAGCCACTCAAGGTGGCATGAGAGTTGTGACAATTTTTGAGTATACCTTTCAAATTATTTTCAGAAAAAAGTTAAAAGAATGTTTGATTTGTAGTGATTTTACCATTACTAGGGTTCCTTTGGCACTGCTAGATGATGATGCTATGTAGCCATCCACACACCATGATTTCTCTAGTAGTAATTCTCAAGCTGAGACTACAGGGAATTTAAACTGCAAAATGCCAAGTGTTTACTCACCTACAGGGACTCTAGAAATGGCAAACAGGAACACAGTGGTGGATGTTCCAAGAAGGAAGTAACCCAGTGCACTGAGAAGAATACAAGCAAGCAGGGAATACCGTCTTCCTACTATATCACTCCAGCAGCCCTTTCATAAAGCAGGAAATTAAGATAGCTTTTTATAACATTTAACTATGTACAGTGAACAATCAGTACTTCTAAATTAAACTGAGAAAAGAGATCAAAGGACTGTCAATGAAAGCTTAATAAGCTTATTACACAGCATTCCTAAGTGCTCAAACTCTGGAAGTGATGAGCAGAGTTCTGCCCTGCTGGCAGGGCACCTGCTGAAACTATAATTTTATTTTACGTCATGCATACAGCTTTTTAAAAAATAATTTCTCTCTTTTAAATATTAGTAGTAGGGGCCCTCTGAAAATCTTATCACAACCAACCACAAATACTTCTTTGCAACAATGGTCACCATGTACTAGACACTTGTTGAGCATCTGCGTGCAGCCAAGTAGGAAGTATTTACGAGAAGGGCAAACAGCAAATTTGCATGTAGCGTGCTTATAAATCAGCTTAATTCCAAACAGGAAGTTTTTGAAGAAAGTAGGCAATAGTTTTGCAGTACAAAGAAAATGCCATGATTATAGAAGCAAATTATCCCAGGTGGCCTGAGTAACAAACCTGGAACGTTTTTTTCATGAGATGCTCAAAGTCTGCTCTATTGAAAGCTACGAGGTTCCAGGGAAATATTAAAGGTGCTCCTGGCTAAAAATAGGGATCTAAGGTATTGATAGGTAAAGCATACATTCAAGAGGTTCAGTGTTGATGCTTAGTGTTTGTGCTCTTGCTTAGATTAGGGTGTAAAAAACTCAAAAGCTAATAGAAAACAAAACCAAACAAAGCTCAGAGGCATAATGCGTGAATTTAGGCCATATGGCAAATTAGAAGGGAATACTCATTAAGTAGGG